TCAGACGAAAACAAATTAAAACTTCTAACTCAAATATTGCACTGTTTCTTTCCATTAATAGCCCTTCTTTGGGGAAAAAATCCATAATTCAATGAGGGTCCAGTTCTGGGCCCCCCACCCCACTCTGGGCCCGGGACAACAGACCCGTTTGCCCCCCCCCATCGGCGGGCGTGCATGGAGGTCTGGATGTGGAATGAGGTGGCGCATGTTCTCCTGAGGGATCTCCTCCCAGACCAGGGGCCTCATGTACAAAGGGTGCCTATGTACAAAAACTTAGCGTACGCACTTTTCCACGCTCACGTTCAGATGTATCAAGAGTGAAATGATGGTGGAAATGTACAGTCTCCATGTCAACTTCTTGACTGGCGCACGTTTCTATTGCTTTTGAGCCATTGGCAACACTTAGAGGTGATGCTGGGAATGCAAAAAATAATGTTAAAAAAAGGTAATTCCTCAAAGTGATATGCACATTAGAGACACTCAGATGAACAATTAACACACCCAGGTGTTTGTAATCAGATGAGTTGATATAAAAGTTTGCGTAAAATGGTGCAGAAGATACCGTTAACAACAATGGCAGCTTCGGCACTGTTGGAGGATATTGCCAATAGAGCAGTGTGAAGAGAACAGGTTTTCAGAGACCAAGAGAAGTTTTTGTCTCAGGATTGTCCTGAATCAAAAAATCCTCTCGGTCCCCAAAAACCTGACTGGCTCATCAGCCGCTTTAGGTTCCCGACGGCAATCCTCTTGGAACTGTGCGTGGAACTGCGGCTATTATTGGAGCGCAACACGGCCAGGAGCCATGTCCTACCTGTGCAGACACAGGTGCTGACCACACTGGGCTTCCTAGGCACAGGGTCATTTCAGAGGGAGCTGGCCGACCGATTGGGACTGTGCCAGTCAACACTGAGCTGAGCTGTGTGGGGTGGAACTATCCGGATGTCAGCCAGGTACATCAAGCTCCCATACTGCAGTTGAACAGGACGACGTAGAAGTGCAATTTGTAGCGAAGGCCAGTAGTCCTAATGTAATCGGAGCTATCGACTGCACACACATTGCTCAGGCAGAGCTTAATGGAAAGTTGCCCCTTATTGGCTAGTGACTTGGTGCTTTTGCATCCTTGTGTGATTGGTTGAAAGAGAGTGGGCATGATGGATTTGTTTAAAACTACTAAATATGATAACTTATTTTTGTCCTTTTACATCTGGCATCAATATGCAATGAGTATAAACCAGTTACATTTACTAAAATAGGTGTGACAAGGTAAAGTGAGTGATGTGTGATTGATAACTAATAAGTTGAAGTTGAAAAGTGAAGTGACAATGAAAAATATCAGCTTCCATTCATTCAAATGTGGATCTTTTTTGGGTCTTTTTTGGGGGGGGGGGTCTTCTTTTCTTCAGTTTTTTCTTTCCACACGCTCCATACATTTGTCAGAAAAGTCGCTGAATGTAGCTGGTGGTGCACATCACTGACCGAGCCTGCTACATGTAGGGGAACGGCCATGAGCTGGATTCCAACTCACGACCTCCACACATCAGGACCGTGGCCCTGTACGTGGGATGCCAGCTCAACCAGGTGAGCTATAGCTGCACCCCCTCACAAATTAAAAGAGAATATATATATTTATGCTTTTACGTTTTCAAGTCCAACACATTCTCCGACCAATGCTTGTAGCACTTGCAGTAAAGACTGGAGGTTAAAAAGGATTGCACTAAAGTCACTTCATGCACTTTATAAATTACTCTGAGCACTTTAGATAAAATATTTATAAAAATAAATACATAAGTAAATAAATATGCTGAAAAGAACATGGCTCCATGACACCATCCCAGCCGCGGCCGTACAGCTGGAGGAGATGACATAGTTCCGGGCGGACAGACAGACAGCCAGCTGGCTCTGAACTTTTCCAGAGCTGCTGCAGGAGCAGGACACTGAACACTGTCAGGGACTCCTCACACCCTTTACCATAAACTGTTTGAACTGCTGCCATCAGGCACATGTTTCCGGAGCACCGAAGAAATGAACCTCCACACTGATCAACAGCTTCATTCCAAAAGCTGTCACAATGCTGAACTGCTAATCTGCATATGCAAACACTTGCTTGTTATTTAACTGCTTTTAGTTTTTGGATCCCGAAGAAATGCTCTCTCATCTTGTTTGTGCTACTGTTGCATGTACAGCAAAATGACAATAAACTTGATTTGAAGCAGCAGCAGGTCACAGACTTATTGTCCGAGGTGGTGGAGTGGGACTGTAGGTGTGTGCTGCTGAGAGCTGCGCACCGTCCAGGGTCAGGACAGAGTGAGGAGAGACACTGGCTGGATGTCCAGGTAGGACAAGACGTGTGAGCTTTTGGAGGCTGGTGTGTTGTGTGTTTGGAGGAAGGTTGTGCTTAAAGATATGATGTGATTGTTTGTGGTTGTACACGTAGCTAGCGCTAATGATTTAACTCTATGTGTTTCCTGAGGTTTGACGGACTGTTCTTGAATGCCAATACTTCCTGGAGTTTTGGTTTGTGCAAAATGCAGCACATTCGCCAGGGGTTGTTTTTAGCACCAACCCACTCAAAAAGTACTCAAGTAAGGAATCTGGGTACTTTTGCCATCTCCAATATTTACATACCTTATCTGACAGAGGCCAAATGTAAACACCCTTAAACTGAAGGTGAACTTCAAAGTTATTGCTTTATTTCAGATCCAACATGTTATGTAAGGTGACATCTATTAAGTACAAGACTTCTTCAACTTAAATGTAAAACATGCCATATTTATCTTTATGTAGCATTTTTAAACAAAATTGCAAACTTTTTCCCTGATAGACACTGTCAGCCTGAAAATGTTTATTTTGGGGGGCTGATGCTGATGTTTAATTTTAAAGCCCTCTTCGACCTGTACCACAGATGATGCCAGCATTATTGAGCATCCCTATTAATGACAGCTGCTGTTACAATGAATAAACAGTGGCATTTATGAAACTAACCATAAATGTTGTCAACAAAGCTATGCATTTACAGGCTGAAAGTCAAAAGAAAAAAAAATTAAGATGTCTATAGCCTCTGGAGATGTCAAGTAATTTGCAAAAAAAAAAAAAGTGTTACTCACAATGACTTAGTGTTTTCCAATTACAACTGGCACAATTATGCATGTACAATGCATAAGTCCACTTACAGTTACTACATTTAGAGAATTCATCTGACGTAGGTAGCCTTCAACTAAAGATAAGAGTCCACACTTTAACTTTATAGTTATTGCTTTATTTCATAGGCGATGGCCTTGAGTATAACGTCAACACAAGACATGATTTACTCCAGATTTGACTGTATTATATAATTCTGACGATACAACAGTGAATTGTAACCGTGTGCAGGGTTTGAAAATGTGTTACTTTGATGCCACCCAGTGTTTAAGCATGCAGCATACAGGTTTAGTAAGCCTGGATTTGTCTTGCTTCTACGGGTTCTTGAATCACTTTTGGTGCTTGTGATTCTTCAAAGGAAGATTGTGTAGGGACAGATTCCCAAGTGCACAACATGTAAAGGTGATAAATGTCGGAGCACCCGAATGAAGGGAGCAGTAGCAACAAGACTGCATTCCTGGCTTAAGCTTTGACTAAGTCATACTGACATATACTACCATAATAGTACAACAAAAATTGATTTTGCAAGCTCAAGTCAGGTCTGATCTCACCACTCTAATCTATAGTACCACTGAGTGTTGCAAAAATAGGGCTAGCTATGTTGCACTTTGTGGTCAGAGGTGTGAACTTTCACAGAGAGGCCTGCAAACTTTTCTCACCAAAACCACAAACTGACAAAAGGACCTGCTGCAGCAGCACAATGGAAAACAACAACAACAAAAAAATCTTAGCTTTTTCGTGCTTTTCTTTTTAATTTAATTGCCAAGGATTAAATTTGTATTAACTTTTATTATTGTTAAATAATTCAATTTAGTGTAATGTACTGTAGTATTAACTAAATAATAAAGAGTGAGTCACTAAAAAAATAAAACTAATACAGCAATTAAAATAATTTATGATACCACTACTGTATGAAAAAATGTCATGACTTTGGCCAGTATCAACGATGATGCTGATATTATGGTGCATTGCTAGTATTTGTGATTACTATGATATTTATGAAGCTTTTTATTAATCTTGTGAGCAAAGAAATGCATTTACACATTACAAAACCAACATAATACATTGTCTCCTGCTTATAAAAACTTCCTCTACAAATCTCCACATATACAAAGCACACCAGTATGAACTTCACTATACATATCATACTTATATAAATACAGATGATTTCCATTTAACCCAAAGTCACCAGAATGACAGCTACTGATACAAAAAGTATGCCATCTTTTTCACAAACAGTATTTTCTCATATGAATCTACTTTATCAGTCAATTTTGTTTTTTGTTTTTTTTTGGATTTACAGCAGACGATGCCACTACTATATGTATCATTGTTGGTGACATTAAAGTTTATCTGTGTTTTTCCTTTTTGCTGCAAGAGAAATTTCATCACATTCAAACCTCCTGACATGTAAATGCAGGAAACACTGCAGCAATAAAGCCGCAAAATTGCACAAAAATTGGATTGCACTATTTATGTGCCCGCTGAGGAGATGGTACAGAGTCCTGACGACTAGTCTGTTAGTTTTTTTTTCTTCACTGGTCTATTAGTGGCGCAGTGAGTGGAAGTGAGTGCAGCCTGCGGAGAGCGTTGGATTGTGGGTATCTTGTGTTTCCTGATAGATTCTGACAGTCAGCTGTTGCGGTAAAGTTTTGACAAAGTTTGACAAGCTTTTTTTTTGTCGACTGTTGTTTTTGTTTTTTGCTCACATGTTCTCTGATATATTCCGATACTGGAACTAAAGTTTGCTGCCTCTCGTCTGTCGTCGTGCTGCATCCTGTAAAAGTACGCGGTTTATGTAATTCGTGAAAGTTATTGACAACGGTGGGAGAACTTTCGGAATGAGTTTGAACGAGCACTCCCTGCAGGCTCTGTCCTGGAGAAAACTTTACCTGAGTCGAGCCAAACTTAAAGCCACCAGTCGCACTTCGGCTCTGCTGTCGGGCTTCGCTATGGTAAGTGGTTTGACTTGTGTTTCACGGTGGGAACGGAGGCGAACTTAGGCCGTGAACCGTGTTATGTGACGCAGATTATTGTGGACAGATTCCGTGTTTATACCGTCACTGTACGGGCCGGGGACGCATGCTGAGCGATAATATTTATTATTAAGAGCTATTTTCCGTCCGCAAACACGGTTTAATGAACCAAATGCATTAAAAAAACAAAGGTCATAATATGTGGAACGAGCGGCTCCTTGGGTCATGTGTGACTTTGCACCACATTTCCTGTAAGTCTGACGGAGCTGCAGAGGAATTATAGCGGCCAAAGAATAACGAATGTAAATTTAAGAGGGCTGGCCTGTGCTCACCCCCAAATCCAGGGTTGTCCTCCGCCATAAAAAGTAGTCCGCAGGGCAGCAGTAACACTCATGTTGTGCCAAAAAGTGATTACCGTTCAGTTCATTTACATCAACAGCTGCTTGTATGTGCATCAAACAGTCATAACATGCAAATAGCATAACTGCAACTGTGGTGACGGCAAAGGTTTGAGAAACTTTAACATTTCTTGTAATTTAATAATTGTGACCAAAGAAATGTTTTCAGTTATAATCAGGCCTGACGTTTAGGATTGTACAAGAGGTGCAATAAGTCATCAGTTTGTCAAAATTCTCTTGAATGTTCTATGTTTCTTTAATTCTTTATGACAGTGACCTGAATCTCCTTGAGTTGTTGACAAAACAAAAAAACAAGGCTTATGAGGCCATCATCTTGAGCTTTAGAAAGCTCTGATCGCCATTTTTCATGATTTTCTGAGCTTTGCAAACTGAAGGACTAATGAATTGATCCCGAAAATAATCAACAGATCAATTGACAATGAAAACAATGAATGAAATCCATAATTTTGATGCATTACCAACATTTCAGTCACAATGTAGGTGCTACGGCCACTTTTTGGCAAGTGGAAAATGAGTTGAGCTGGGCCTTCAAAGCTATTTCTACTGGTAAAAAAAACTACTGTGGAATTAGATCAGTTTTTGGCACAACACCGGCACCAACACTAATATCTTTAAAGGTGAAGTTTTTGAAAAATTATGGCTGATGGTGCATACAAAAATTTGATCTATTTCTGAAATGTACAGTTGAAACCAGAAGTTTACATACATTGTATAAAAAGACAACTTTTTTTTTCTTCACTGTCTGACATAAATCAGACTAAACTTTTCGTGTTTTAGGTCAGTTAGGGTTACCAAAATTATTTCTATTTGATATATGCCAGAACAATGAGAGAGATTTTTAAAGAGATTTTTCTACTACTTTCTTCAAAGTCAGAAGTTTGCATACACTAAGGTTACTATGCCTTTAAACTATTTGGGAGAGCCCAGATGATGATGTCATGGCTTTGGAAGGTTTTGATAGGTTAATTGACAACATTTGAGTGAATTGAAGGCACACCTGTGGATGTATTTTAAGGCACAAGTCAAACACACTGCTTCCTTTTGTGACAACATGAGAAAATCTAAAGAAATCAGCCAAGACATCAGGAAGAGAACTGTGGACCTCCACAAGTCTGGTTCATCTTTGGGTACAATTTCCAGATGCCTGAAGGTTCCAGGTTCATCTGTTCAAACAATTATATCAAGTATAAACACCATGGGAATGTCCAGCCATCATACCACTCAGGAAGGAGACGGGTTCTGTGTCCCAGAGATGAAGTGTTTTGGTGTGAAATGTGCGTATCAACCCCAGAACAAAAGTAAAAGACCTTGTGAAGATGCTGCTGGAGCTGGTCAGAGAGTGTCATTATCCACAGTGAAACTAGTCCTGTACTGACATGGACTGAAAGGCGACTCAGAGAGGAAGAAGACATCACTCCAAAAAACCAACATATAAAAGCCAGATTACAGTTTGCAAATGCGCACAGGGACAAAGACCTTCATTTTCGGAGACATGTCCTGTGGTTTGATGAAACTAAAATTAAACTATTTGGCCATAATGACCAACGTCACATTTGGAGGAAAAAGGGGCAAGCTTACAAACCTGAGAAGTATGAACTGTGAAGTACAGGGGTGGCAGCATCATGTTGTGGGGGTGTTTTGCTGCAGGAGGGACTGGTGCACTTCACTAAATAGATGACATCATGAGGAAAGAAGATTATGTGGAAATATTGAAGCAACATCTCAAGATGTCAGCCAGGAAGTTATAAGCTTGGGCGCAAATGGGTCTTCCAGATGGACAATGACCCGAAGCATACCGCTAAATTAGTTATAAAGTGGCTTCAGGACAACAAAGTCAATGTTCTGGAGTGGCCATCACAAAGCCCTGATCTCAATCCTGTAGAACATTTGTGGGCAGAGATAAAAAGATGTGTGGAGCAAGGTGGCCAACAAACCTGACTCAGTTACACCAGTTCTGTCAGGAGGAATGGGCCAGAACTCCATCAAACAGTTGTGAGAAGCTTGTGGAAGGAAACTCAAAACATTTGACCCAAGTCATACAGTTTAAAGTCAATTCTACCAAATACTTAGGAAATGTATATAAACTTGAAAAGAGTAACAAAAAATCGCTTAAAAAAAGATTTTGTCTCATCCTGGCGTTTAGCAAATAGAAATAATTTTGGTAATCCTAACTGACCTAAACCAGGAAAAGTTTAGTCTGATTTAATGTCAGACAGCAAGAAAAAAAGGTTTTATGTCTTTTTATACAGTGTATGTAAACTTCTGGTTTCAACTGTAAATACCACCTGTAATTCCTTGCATGATACTGTGTTTTTGCCATATTCGATATGCTGATATTTTCCAACTTGTTTGAGTCAATTGCAGACACGGACATTTATGGACATATTTTGGCATCTACTTTCAGACCGCATCATGTCTCTCCTCTCCTGAAATTATTATCTTGCCTTCTGTTATCATGATGTTCCAGTTGCAGGTGCAGATATAAAATACAGTGTATTTGTGTAACCCCTCTCCTATCTGCAGGAAGGACAGCTGAAACAATGAACAATAATATTATTCATGTCATTTGCAATATTAAGTTCTCTCTGTTACAGTTTTGTGGCCTCACCTGTTTATTACAAGGTGCTTGATTTCTAATGTTTGACTGAATGCATGGCAATAAGCATCCAGTAAAATTAACATCATGGATTCAGTTGCAAAGCCAAAGCCAAAAAGATAACTGGATCTACAATTGCAATTATTTATCGAGCAATTAATCTTAAACTAACATGTAATGAATGTGACAGCTGTATCTAACTCCAATTTTAATTCCAAAACCTCTTAAACACAATGCCGTGTAAGATATTCTCTCATGATATTCATTCATTCTAATACTTCAGCTCAGTACTAATCAGATGCCACTGCTCTGTTTTCCAACTTACCTCACTGTGAGGAAGTCATTGTGGAGTGTAATAGATTCTGCTTACAGCACTTGCATGCTGCTGCTAACATTTAACTTCGCAGCCGAGCAGCTTTACTTGCGTAAAAACACAAATGAAAAAACTTAGAGCTGCCCACTTGTCTATCAGTACTGATACTGATCCATCATATCAGATTGGTGCATCCAGGGATATCAGCTTACAAATGCACATAAACAGTGTTGCAAATATTAACTGTTTTCCTGTTTGATTTTCCCAGGTTGCCATGGTGGAGGTGCAGCTGGAGAGGGATCATAAATATCCTCCAGGGCTGCTGATAGCCTTCAGTGCTTGTACCACAGTCCTGGTTGCAGTGCATCTCTTTGCCCTCATGATCAGCACCTGCATCCTCCCTAATCTGGAGGCCGTCAGCAACGTTCACAACCTCAACTCGGTCAACGAATCTCCCCATGAGCGCATGCACCGCCACATAGAACTGGCCTGGGCTTTCTCCACCGTCATCGGCACCCTCCTCTTCCTGACTGAGGTGATGCTCTTGTGTTGGGTGAAGTTCTTGCCCCTCAAAAGCAACGCGGGAGAAAATAACAGCACCATAAGTCCTGGCGAGGCCGCAGCCATAGCGTCCACGTGCATCATGGTACCATTTGGAATTGTTTTTATCGTGTTTGCCGTCCACTTTTACCGCACGCTTGTCAGTCATAAAACGGACCGGCAGATCCGAGAGCTGGAGCAGGTCATTCGGCTCCAGAACCAGCTAGACCACAGGGCTGAGAATGATGACCTGAAGGCCGCCGTCCACTTTCCCTGATTTATATGTTGTAGCAGAGACATTCAGCACTGCTTCCACTGGGAAATCTTATATAAAAGCTTTATTTTTTATGTCTAGCAAATTTGCTCAGATGCTTTACTTTTGGAATTGCAAGCTTTGTGTATTGCACGTTACTCAGTCCAGTTTTATATAGTACATGTTCCCAAACTTCTACACATTATATATCAGTTCTCTTTAGGTTGAATGCAAATGTTTTTACTCTCATATGCACATTTTTGTGAATTGGATAAGAACATATCTTTATCATCATCATAATCTAATGTCTTCTAGGGTTGAAATCTCAAGGTTACTTCCTGTGGGCTCTTATGTGTACTGGTATTATCAATCTTTAGGCAAATACTGACTTTGTGTAAGACAAATGTTCTACATAGTAAAGAATAATAAGTTATTGCTTGAGTGCAAATGAGAGTAAAAAGTAATATCAACCATCTATTGCAGAGGTGTCCTTATGAGGAGGATCCACATCAGATCAAACAAATGAAAATGTTTGAATGTGGATTTAACTTCTTTTTTTAGTACACATGTAAATGAAATCTGTGGTAAAACTTATCACTTATTCTGTCTGTCTGCAGTTTTTTTTAATGTGCAACAGACTGTTTACACATTATTTTGTGCTGCTGATGGGGGTATATTTTATAATCTCCCCCTACAGTGGCATCCATCTTGGCTTAATTAGTTTTTTATTTTAATTCTTTTTGCTCTAAATGAAGTCTGGTGACCTTACCTGGCCTTAGTGCTCGCTGATGTTAAACCCTTGTTCAAACATAGTTACCAGTTGGTTTAGGTTGTGCCAAATATTTTGTGAGCACCATTTTTAAAGAGCTCAAAGAATCAGTGCGGATAAAAAAAAAACATTTGTTTTTTAGCTAAAACAAAACAGATAGACTATGTTAATGCTACCATCCAACAGTATTTGTGTGCAATCTGAGGCAACAAAGCACTTAAAAGTAAATGCTGACAGGGAGTGCCTCAAATCAAAGTGTGTTAATGCGGTACACAAACTTTTACAGAAACGGTTTGGTGGGACTCGAATTCGAGTAATTAAGGCAGCAATTTGAGCCTGTGTCTGTGTTCAAGACAATTTTTTTTCTCCTTTTAAAGGTGTCTTAAATGAATCCCAGGCAGATACATTTGAAATGTTTTCAATTTCACATCACTTTTACAATTCAAAAACACTGTAAACCCTACAGAGGGTTACTGATTTACAAAGAAGTGCTGACTGTATTGTTACAAAGCATGAACACATTGCAGATGTGTGTAAGTTTGTATGTTTTGTACTTTTCGTAGTTTACAAGCTTGAGCATGTTCACACATTAGGTTACAGATTTTGTCAAGCGTGGATATGGGTTGTGTTTTCATTGTCCTGTGGCACATTGCTGAATTATTTTACTTGGGATTTGTCATTTTCTTTATTGACAATACTGTAACATTGGTACACAATAGTGTCATAACAATATTTTCTCATGAGTGCATTATATCCCATTATATAATGCCCCCCTAAAATTTTCTGTTCTTCAACATGACACTGAAGTTATTTGAGAATATATGCATGTTTTATATCAGCTTTTGGTCAATATTTGGCATTTTTATCATGTGATTTTGAATTAACTGAGTGTTTATATCAATGTAATTCTGTGTCATTATGGCAGTATCAGTTAAATGAAGGTAGGTTAATTCAGGTAAACTGTGCACATGCTGGGACACCTCTGATGGGAAATACCACTTGTGCCTTCTTCAAAAACAGAACAGCGAAGCCATGTTACTTTGGTTATTTGTTGTGGTTTATTTATTTAACCAAGTGTATGTTACTGTATATAGAGAGGTTACAATGCTTTTATCAATGCACAGCTTTAAAGTGAATTTTCAGTAAGTACTGTATTGTAAGTTTTGCTTATGTGTGGTGTTAGTGACTCATCAAAAAGAGTCAACAAGATTTTTTTGTTGCCAGTTTGAGAATAATAAAAAAAAAATTACATGATTTGTGAGATGTATTTTATACTTCTTTTGCATTTTTAAATGAATATTTACATGTATAAAAATGGCAGGAAAAGCAGACAAGTGCACGCTATAATCTAAATAAAACACATCTCAAACTATGACATCGAAAGGAAAACCACACAGGAAATGCAGGGACATGGAGCTTGAGTGCAGCTCACACTGACAGTCAAAGTCATGAGCTGCATCACAACAAGGCACACGTACTCCCACTCTCGCTGACTTCGTCCTGCACTCTCGTTGCCATTAGCGCTTGTTTTGTGGCTTCCCTGAACAAATCATCCACATTGTCTCTGCATTTGGCAGAGCACTCTAGGTACAGCACAGCACTGATTTTTCTTCTGGCCTCTTCACCCTGTCAGAACAAAGTTTTATTCCAAAAACAAAGTGAAATGTGAAATACAGAAATTGTAAGTTTTTGTTTAGTTTCAGTTGCACACCAACAGGCAGTCAAAAGAGATGATTTTGCTGAATACCTGAAAATACGTGATAGCGTTCTGGCCCAGTGACCAGAGTTTCCTCATCAGGACTATGTCTGAGCGAAGGTCTGCTTTGCACCCAACAAGAATAATGGGCACCCCAACACAGAAGTGCTGCATCTCAGGGTACCACTGAAAGACATGTAAATATTGTGGTGTTTTAGAGACACACTAACTGCAAAATGACAATAATGCATGGATGAAAATCTATCACATTTTGAGTCACACAAAGTACAAACAATAAAGAGACAATATATTTATACCCTCACGAGGACGTTATCAAAGCTTGAAGGACACGTGACATCGTAGCAGATCAGTGCCACGTCTACGTTCCGGTAGCAGAGGGGACGCAAGCGATCATACTCCTCTTGGCCTGACATTGACACAATCAAAATATGCAATTGAAATGACAAACTTTTGTGCTTTGTAATGAACCAAAAGGAAACAAAAACAACAAAATGTAATCAAATTGGTGAAACAGAAACAAAAACAACAACCTCACTTCATTTTAACCACCATAACTTGTAGTGTTTTGATGATTCTGTATATTTAAGGTTAATGAAATATGTTGTTGTGTTTCTCTCATGCGGTCTAGGACTGACATGACACACCTTCCACAGTCCTGAGCTACCTGTTCAACAAGGTCATTTCAGAAGAGCATGTAAAGAATGAGGCCTCACCTGCAGTGTCATAAAGATGCAGTCGAAAGTGTTGTCCTCTGTACCTTGTGTTGACAACAATCTTGTCGAACACAGACGGAATATGTTCCTGAAAATAATGATTTTTCTAATGTTCATTTGAATCTTACATATTTTGTTTTATTTAGCTTTTGCATTGAAATGAATTTCAGGCAGCGTTCATCCCTATATCCAAGATTCAACAACTGAAAATACTGCAACCATGTGTCATTGAGTCTCACTGTGTCCTACCTACCTCTGGAAAGTCTCCTTTGTTGTAAACTGTGATCAGCGACGTTTTCCCACAACCCCTGTCTCCAACAATAACAACCTTAAATTCTTCTGGCTGGCTGGTGTTTCCTCTGCTTGCTCCTAATCCTTTGTGGGTCATGTTTTATGAAAAGACAAATGGGGAAGGATACTTCCAGTGACAGCCGGTCCTGGCAGTGTATATACACTGCAGAGATAATCCAGAGACAAACACAAAGTGTAGACAAAAGAAATCAAAGGAAGGCTGAATTACATTCAAGTCATGTGTGCAGCAGCATGGAGGCGGTGGTATGAATAGTTTGAGGGGTTTGGGAATGCTTCTGAAATATTCACATGATGAAACACACCTACAGATAGTCCCACCTTCTCCGAATGAACTGCTCCACCTTCTGTCTGAAGTATTTAAACGTGCTCAGATTACCTTGTGTTGGCTGCAGCATTTTAGTACAAATCTAAATATAATATCTTTATTAAGCCATAATGTCAATCAATTTTAATACTTTGTCTCCAGTTATTATAGTTGTTCATTGATGGATAACTATAGAATAATCGTCTCCGTGTGTTTGTTTTTGTATGTGTGCATGCTTTTTTTTTTTTGTATGTTAACAGTCTAGCACTTTACAGGAGAGGAGTTTGAACCTGAAACTTCATATATGACCTCGGTATGGTCCCTTCTCAGAGTGATTAGATTTTGGGGTCAATACATGCATTGGTGACTGCTGCAGAGATCAAAGGTCGCCTTTCACAAAAACAGCTATGACTGAAAATGCACAAAAAGTCATAAGTTTAACATACTAACTTAGGGAGACATTCGAGACCTATAAACTGGTGATGTAACACACGACCTTGAGACAAAGGTCATGGTTACACTGAAGGTGGTAAATCATCACAATTTAAAAAAAATGTCTGATAACAGTTTAGAGCTTTAAAGGAGAGGAGTTTGAACCTGAAACTTAATATATATTATATATATTATAAGGTGTAAGATAAACATTTTTTTTATTACAATCAGATAGGAACCCATATTGGTGATGTGACATTTGACCTTGGATAAAAGGTCAAGGTCAAACTTAACATCAAAATCTTAGGTGAGCCGTAGGCGTAAATTACAGCAAAACGCTTCCCCTCCATGCAAAATATCTTTGTTACATGATAGACTAAGCTCTTGTTACATATCATTACGTATCTTTTTAAGGCAAAATCAAGGCAAGTTTATCCTAAAGTAGGTGCACAGTAAAACACAGGATCAGGTAAACATGCATACACTGGGCAACTATTCCCCTTTACTGAGGGCTCTCTAGTTATTTAAATGATGCTAGTTTTAAAATATTCTATGATATATGCACAAATACATATAGAAAAATATAACGTAAAATAATCTATATCTAATATTCTAGTTATTATTTTTAATTTGTAATTAACAGTTAATTATTTAATTGTTTTAAAATAACTGCTTTAAAATATACATTTATAAATGTATATATATAATCACACAATAAAAATAACAATAAAAATAATAATTACATAATAATATAATTTATTATAATAACTACATAATAATGGCAGATCCTAATAATAATAAGTTGAATTGGAATATCAACCTGCTACTGTTTCATATATTAACTGATTTATATATGTAGGCCACTAAACCAGAAAATGTGTTATTTCTAATATATATATATATATACACATATAATATGTGTCCTTTTTCTCCCTCTTTCTGGTCTATTCAATCTCCTGTGTGAGAGTAACACGTTTTTTAAATTTTTATTTTGTGGTTTTATTTTGTTATAGAAATAATTAAAAAAAAAATAAGTAAATTATGTATATATACATATATCAATGTTAATTTCTCACCTGTTAGTGAACCTTTAGTGTTCTTCCGCCTCGGTGAAGGACCTATATCCCGTGTCTGTCTGCTGGCGGATGGATCCTCCACTGAACCTGGGCGACGAGCTGACGAAGTGTCACAACAGCTTCTTCACGATGTTGCTTCATCAAAGAACAAACCTCCGGTGCAGGTAAGCGAGAAAACAAATTGTTTTGTCAAACTTATCCTGAAGTATGTGTCCGTGTTTGTCGGAATAAGGTGTCGCGTTTCAGCCGAAGATGACGCTACAGGTGATGCTCTCCATCACCTGTCGGGGTGTGTTAACCTCTGGCTGGGGACTAACGTCAGCTAGCTAACAGCGATGTGTAGCCTCGTGTCCAATGACAGCAAACGCAGACTGTTCTGTTGTTTTTTTCCAGGTTTTGACGAATGTAATGGAAAGCGAAAAACAAAGTACTGAGAGAGAGACGCCGCCTCAACACTGGACAAGTTGGAAGTTGATTATTGACCCTGCTTTGACAAAAGGACTGTACAAAGTCTGCCGCTACGATGGACAATATTTCAACATTCCCGTGAGCATTTTAAAAAACATCTTTATTGTCTGCTTTTTGTAGTTTAACACTATATTGTAGCGTCTAACAAGCATGCACTGTGTATTCAGCTTCATAATGAGGGCTTGTGTCTGTCAGGTTGAGGATTTAGGCTTGTTTCCAGTGGACACAGTCAGAGATCCAAGAATCTGCCGTCTGTGGAGCAAGTGCTTCAAAACTGACCTTTTGGTTACTAAATTTAAGGTAATTGTTATAATCATTGCAGTATAGCAATATCAACAGCTCTGATAATAAAAACTAATGCTTGTTGCTCATCTGTGTCCTTCCAGGTTGATGAATGGTACGTTGGTCCTGTTCCTCCCAAAGAAGTGACATTTTCCAGGTTGAATGACAATGTGAGGGAGACGTTCCTCACTAATATGTGCAAAAAATATGGCAACACTGAAGACGTGGAAATATTCTGCAATCCTAAGAACAAGAAGCATTTAGGCATCGCAAAGGTGGTCTTTGACACAGTGAGGGCCGCGAAAGACGCTGTTCAGAACCTCCATCAGACATCAGTGATGGGAAATGTTATTCATGTGGAAATTGATCCTAAAGGTAAGCCTCCAAGTTTTATGTTTCCATTTATAAATGTTGTTGAATGGGGATAACTAATTGCAACATCCGACTCCTCAGGTGAAAATAGGGCACGGTATCTTCAGCTCCTGTTAAGCGGCCTGTATACCCCGCAGACATTGCCAGTGGGCAGCAGTGAGCGAGCTCTTCAAAGTTTGATCGACAGTTTGCTGGTAAACATTTAAAGCTCAGGGTTATTCCCATGTAGAGACTCACTTTTGTGGATGGCTCAAAGGCCCAATCTGAGCCAGGAAAAACCCTAAAGCTGCATATAATTATTTGAATATTGAAGCATTTGATATTTATAAACCAGCTGTTATACATCTTTCTTGTAGGAATAATATTTCTTACTTGTTGTCTTCTTTTCTTTCTATTGTCGTACAGGGCAGTACAGCCACGCACCCATCAGGGAGTGTCTCCAGCCCCACCAGCATTGCTACACCCCTCTCTCTGGACACAGCCTACTCCAGTATTTGGCAGGATACACCGTGCAGCTTCAGACTGACACCACTCTCTCAGGGAACCCCCCACACTCCTTGCTTGTCTGCGACTCCTCTCTCACAGGACTCTTGCTACTCCAGTCTTCAGGCGACTCCAATCCTCCAGGGGGAGCCCTTTACCTATAGTGTTCCCAAACCTTTAAGACAAGAACTCTGCCTTCGTAAACCTGTGCGGTATCACAGGGGATCGGGCCGAGCCTCAAAGGTTAACTTAATTTTAAAGCATTGCCAATCACAGCCTCCACACACCCTCTCGACCCAAAGCAGCCGCCAGCTGGCACTGTGGGGTCACAATGCACAATCCTCTACTCACAATAATAAGGAGGCTTCCTTTAGCCTGTCCTCCCCCTTTCAGGAGTCCAGAGATGCAGTCAACACAAGTGCTATGGCTTTACCTCTGAATTGCAACTCTGTCAGCATCCTGAGCTTTAATTTCACAACTGACCAGCAAACAATAGCATCACCTCCACCAGATGACCACCAGCCAAAGGTAGAGAGTTTGGACTCCCGCATTGAAAACTTGCTGATAAACAGCCAGATTTCTGATCTGTCATACTTTGATAGACAGTCTTTAGAGGCTGATGCGAACTCTCAGGACAGCCCAGCTTCACCTTGCTCAGCTCTTAATGCCCCTTTCTTAGATGACTCAATTGTTTGGACTCCAACAACTTGTGGATCCTTTACAAGAATCAACCAGCAGACCTATAATAATGTTCTACATCCCAATCCAGCACTGCTTGTCGAAGATGAAGAGAATGAAACTACTCAAGCTGTTTCATTTCTAACAAGAAACTCCCAGTCTCCCATTTCATGTGATTACACACATGTTGAAAGGAGGGCTCACGTAAACAATGAACACAAGTTTCAGTCGTTATCATGCCAAAAGGTAATTCCTCTACATCTCTACATACACCATCATGAAAATAAAAGTTGTAGTTTACATGTAATTGCCGTGTAAAAGTATTGCTGTGGAACTGTAAAGTCAGATTCTTTTTTTTGGTCCTACTCAGGAGCATCATGCAGCACATGAAGAAAAGGAGCACTCAAGTAACAGAGAATCTGGAGCTCTGACACCAACAAAAGACATCTCTCTCCCTCAGCCTCCATCCATTTCTTCTCTCAGTAGCACCACTCAGTACCTGACCCCCAAAACTCCTCCTGCTGTTACAGCTGGGTGTTCTCATCCACCAGTAACCCCTTTCCCTTTCCCCATTCCTCCCTTTCCTACATCTGTTCCACCGGTCCCACCTCGCCTACCAAATGGTGCTATTCCAATCCCACCTCCAGGATGGATCCCACCTCTGGGCCATCACGCTGGCATCCCCATTCCACCTCTTCCTTCTATGCCTCCCCCACCAACTTTTCTCGGACCCCCTCCACCTTTGATGGTGCCACCGCCTGTTCCACCTCCTGTTCCACCTCCTGTGCACTTGTACCCCCTACCTCTACAGCCTGCACGACCTTTGGAGAAGGGGAACCCTCCGAGGCATGGCAGTGCGCCTTTATCGTTCCCTCACCCGCCCTGGTCCACTTCGCCTTTTCCCACATTTAACCCCTTTGTGCCACCACCGGACTACCAGCTTGTGCAGGAAAACCCCCACAAGATCACAGCAGAAAAAGTTTTAGAAGTCCTCATGGATGAACTGAAGTCGATCATTAAGAAGGACATTACACGTAGAATGATTGAAGGGGTCGCTTTTAAGGCATTTGAGGACTGGTGGGATTGTCAGGAGCAGAAAACAAAGGTACGTTCTCTGCAGCATCTGCTATCTCAGAATGGTCACATGATTCATCACATGAATAAGGAAATTTAGTTTAGGACAAATCTTTTTTGTAATGTTTAGATCTTTTGTAATGAAAACGTTTTTCCTTGTCATCAAATTGCAATACACATTTAATAAGCTTGCCTTTTTATTCTTTCAAGATTCAGGTTTCTCCATTGAAAAGTGGAGCAGCAAGTGTACAAGAGAAGAAGAAACTCATAAGCCCCCTTGGTCACATCAGTAGGCAGGGCGAAAAACCTCCATTGCCATCCTTCAGGGTAAAATTGTTGGGCTGAATTTCACCTAGAACAAACAAGCATTTCACTGCTGAGTGATGCTGAATTTAATATAATGTAAAATGTCTTATTTTTATGCAGGTGAAAAGGAAAAGATCTGAAGAGATGGAAAATGAGCCATGTTGTACTCATCAAATTTCTGGTCAGTGCTTTTATTGCATTTAACTCTAATTTACTGTGTATTTTCTTACCTGTTTATTTCAGTGTAATCTTATCAGCTGTGTTACTTTCTCTCCATTAGCTGTTAAACCAGGGGACGATATGTTAAGACCTGCATCTGAGAGAGCCAAACGCAGACATGCAAGACCACTACAACTTGACAGTGATGATGATGAGAGTAAAGAAGAAGATAGCACACTTCAAGAAGAAACGATTTTAGACAAAGTGGGGGCTGTTGTGCCGGTTGAACTTCAAATCATGGTAAATGGGTAAAACTGCTTATAACTAACTGTGACTCTGTGGGTCAGAGTTTCAGTGTGGTGTCACTGCTTTTGTTTTCAGTTTTTAGTGTTATAAATGATAAACTGTTGAGTTTTAACTTCATGAGGCTGCATAATATAACTTATTTTCTGATTAGTCTGACGCAGGTGATCATGATGACGGTGATGACAGTAACAATCCAGAGGGAGAAAACAAGTTGGCAGAGGAACAGATGGAAAAAGAAGCTGCTGTAGTTTTCCAAACTGCTGACGGAGTGCAATGCTTCGACAGCGGTATGGTAAAAGATTATACAAGTGTAACACTGAACACTAATGAATAATAGACCTGTGAACAAACAGTTTTGTTTCTTTTTAATTATAGAGACTTGTTCAGGAAGCAGCTCCTCAGGGGAGAACGAGTGCTCCTCAGACTTCGACTCCTCTGATTCCTTCTACTCGGAGAGCTTCGAGGACTCGTTCTCTGACTTCAGTACTGAAGATAAAGACATGGACGATGACGACAGCAGGAGTGATGAGTGTGTAGTGATCTCATCAGATGAAGATTCAGTGGAGCTTGAGCCCCCTCCTACTCCCTCAGCGCCACTTACTCCCGGTGCTCAGCTGGATCTCGACCTGCAGGACTGGTCAGATCTGTTTCATAGGGAGGAAGCAGAGGAGAACCAGTACACACCCTATCAACAAGACACCTGCAACTTGGATGCCATGATGGAGTGCCAAACCAGTGAGCCTCAGGAACTACTGCCCCCATCACCGATAGGACTTGCAGGTTATTTGTCCAACGTGTTTTATACCAATTTATTGGATTAGTTTGCACCATTAGGACTGTTTAAATTCTGCTTTGTGTCATTAAAAGATTTTTTAATTGGCTTTCGAAAGGTTTCCTCTACTTTTCCCAAATTTCATAGTTTTAAATTATTGTTTATAGATATTATTAAATAATAATGTAGATATGATTCTGTAACAATTTCCTTTTGATCTGTGTAGCAGAGGAGCCAGGCCTTGACGGGGAGATGGACAGCCCTGAATGGACAGCAGAGCTTGCAGTGAACATAGACAACCTGAGGCCTCTCACTCCTACTGGCTGCTTGGTGGACAGTGACCCTGACATTCTGATAAGAAGCAAACCAAAATCTCCAGCTGTGGAGGACGTGGAACGACCACAAACGCCAGGCAAAGGGATTGTGATTGAACTGGAAAGTAAAGACTCAGATGAAGCAGATGAAGTCTTCTCCCTCTCCTCAGCAAACGATGAGCTCATCATAGCTTCCTCTGACCCCTTGTCAGCCTCATATCCTCTATCTCAGGAGATGCCTAAAACTCCTGGGAGAGAAGAAAGAAGTGTATGGACTCATTACAGCTCTGCAAGAGTTCCAGCAACACCTGGCAGAGAGATGGCTGAAGGTAGCACAGTGTGTCCATCTCTACATAGCTCACCAGCTGTTCTGCGGCCGTCCAGCAATCCATATGTCACAGCCCCAAAAACTCCTGGAAGAGACATAATCCTACTCCGAAGAGCCATAGTCCACAAGAGGAAAACACTAATGGTGACCACCTCACTGCCTCTGTTATCTAACAACTTTGTTCGGGGTTCTCCTGTCACAGTGTCCTCTCCATGGAGCCTCTCTGACTCTTCATCTGACACTGCTGATGGGAGTGACGGACAGATCAGTTCAGGTGTGAGAACCAAGCCCTTGCAGGGGTTGGAGAATATGCCTGGCCTTTTGGATGAAGAGAAATCCTTATTGAGACATAAACTGTGGAGGAGGCTGAAGAGGAGAAGAAGAGCCCGTCATCAACGGTGGTCACTGAAGAGAATCAGTAGTTCGCTCTCTTCTGCTAGTTGTCCTCGCAGGTGGCGTTCACTCTGTGAGGAGAGGAGGATCCTTCACAGTGTATGGAAGGAGGGCCTGGATGAAGAAGATGCAAGACTGCTGCAGTGTACCTATGAAAGGCTGCAAGAGCAGGATAATGGCCTTGGGTGGCTCAGTGACACCCTCTGGATACCTCATCCTCATATCCTTTTAACAGTTTCATGTTAAAATAGACTCACATCAAAGCGAGTTTACAGTAAATTAAGCGTGGATGGGTTTGATTATCTTATAATTCTTTATCGTGCACACATTACTGAGATTAATTCCATAATTCTATATGTCTTGAGTTGAAAAAAAAAAATTTAAAGCCTGAAATTTTAGAAAAAAGTCAAAACCCTGAGAACTGCAGTAAATTGTGAGAATTGCCTCAGTAATGTAACCATCAATGTACTCATACATAGTAAATATAGATGTATAACCAACCTTTTTTATTGGTATACAGTACTGTGTATCATATTCGGTTTGTTTACATCCTTAACTGCTGCTCACTGACGAAAGTCCTCACTGAGAAGAATGAGGAACACAAACCCTGGCAGCCAAACCACAAGACCGGCTCTGCTCGGAGTGAAGGCTTCTACAGAATCAGCAGGAAGGATAAAATGAAATACCTCAACAATACAAAGCTGGCAACTGAGCTTCCTTCTACAAGTGCTCAGGTATTGAAGAGGACAAATTGTGATGCTTTATTTATGTATTAGTTTTTATTTATTTAAGAGGGACAGTGCACATTAATAAATATTGCTGTAAGTCTGCCAGAGGCTATTTTTCATCTGTAGTCCCTGGACAGATGTTACAAAATCACAAATAAATAAGAAATTATGTTAGTGTGGAGTTTGTTCCATTCAGTGCCAACATATTTCTCAGCAGGGAATTTGCATCCCAGCCCAGCAGCCCACATCACTGCGTGCTGGATCTGACTTCAGGTCTGAACAGCGCCGCCTGCTGTCCTCTTTCAGCTGTGATAGTGACTTGGTCAAGTTCAATCAGCTGAAGGTAAGTGAGGTATTACTAAATATAAGTTAAACTGTAAAAACTCTGAATTCAACCTCAAGGAAGCATATTAAACCTAAAAAAAAACACTACAATCTTTTACCAGTGTTCTGCTCTGTTCAATAATAATTGGGTCATTTATCATTTGTTTCTGTTTTTCTGTAGCTTTGTTATTATAACCAAAATAATATATGCATATATATTCATAAATGTGTATACACTTACAGAGTAGTGACCAATGTAATCTGTTTTGCTCAAAACACATAATTCCCTGAAGACCACAGTTATGTGCTAACGAGAGCTGAAGTATGTGTTAACAAATGGGAAGTGTCCAATTTTGTCGTTAAACTAATCTTAACTTCATTTATCAGTTCCGAAAGAAAAGGATTCGCTTCAGCCGGAGTCACATCCATGAGTGGGGCCTGTTTGCCATGGAGCCTATAGCAGCTGATGAGATGGTGATCGAGTATGTGGGCCAAATCATCAGACAGGTAAAGCAAACACAAGCTAATGATAAGGATCAGACACAAATTCATAATGCAAGCAGCTCCTCCAATGTCCCCATAAACCACTTTCCCCCTGATTGTTTCTCTGAACTGCTCCTTTGCTCCACTGGGGCCTCCTGGCTGTTCTGGGTAGTTTCCAGGAGCCCAGTGGTTGTGATAAACAACTTTCATGAACAGTCATATGTGTTTTGATTCTCCTCAGGTCATCGCTGACATGAGGGAGCAGAGATACGAGGAGGAGGGCATTGGGAGCAGCTATTTGTTCCGGGTTGATCAGGACACCATCATCGATGCCACTAAATGTGGGAACTTAGCCAGGTTTATCAACCACAGCTGCAACGTGAGTAAGAACTAGTAGTGCTGTGGTTAGAGACTGAAGTGATTCTAAATGAGATCAAAATTCATTTATATGATCCTTGATACTTAGTATATTTATAATTTCATTAAAGGTTTGGATTTGTTTTGTCTTACAGCCAAACTGCTATGCAAAGATCATCACTGTGGAGTCTCAGAAGAAGATAGTAATATACTCCCGGCAGCCAATAAGTGTCCATGAAGAGATCACATACGACTACAAGTTTCCTATTGAGGACACAAAGATTCCTTGTTTGTGTGGAGCAGATAGCTGCAGAGGCTCCTTGAACTGATCTCTTATTAAGTGACCTGATTATGTCAAGAGCCAAAGTGGCCTGAGGTACTGTACAATCTAAACACAGACTCTGAAGATGTGTCAAAAGGACTGTTTTAATTCTGCTCAGAACTGTACAGTCTAACTGTCTGGAGACGTGGAGGAACTCATGAAAGAACTGCAGACACGTGCTGGTGCTGCTCAGTGAATAATGATTTATTAAACTGCCATAAACAGCACTTCTTTCAGGAATAGGACCAAGAATTGGGTCCTTTATCAGTGCAGGTGTGTTACAGAATGATTTTTCTGGTGGAACATTACAAAACTACATTTTCTGATACATCATACTCAATAACCAGCAATCAGTTCACACGAAAGAAATGTTGTCTTTCCAGATGCCATGTTAAAGGTCTCAATCATAATGAACAGTCTGTTGACCTGACCGTCCAAATAACAGAATTGTACAGTCAAGTGTTTTCATTAATGAGAGCTTAAATGTTGTTTTGCTCGATTCAAGCTCGTTTCAATAACGATGGTTTTCATGTTAATGTTTTATAAAAAGAGAGCACTGTATAATGAGTTTAAAGTTGTCATGTACTCTTGATGATTATTACACACTCAGAAGATCTTTTATAAACACCAGGACAGATAAACTAACACATAATATGCATGATTATTTGTAATAAAACCTGCAAAACACACATATGTATCTAAAACATCACTACACAAACTTGCCCTGTGATAGACTGGCGACCTATCCAAGGTGTCCCCTGCCTTCACCCAAAGTCAGCTGGGATAGGCTCCAACCCCTCCACGACCCTAGTGAGGATTAAGTGGTGTATAGATAATGGATGGATGGATGGATGGACTACACAGACTTTCATTATATTTTTTACAATATCAGAGCATTGCTGTAGAATATTATCAGCATAAAACGAACAGATAGACAGAACCCTAAACAAACAGTGTACTTTTCAGAATAAATTGATGGTTATTGAGAGTTATCAGAGCTATAAAGTGAAATAACACTGGCTTCACATGTTTTTTGAAATGCCATTTGGTGTCAGGACAGTCAGATTTCCTCTGGCATGCTGGTCTGCTTCAATAGCTTCAAAAAGAGACTTGAAGTTCCCTGCACCAAACCCCTGTGAGACAAAAAAACAACAACCTGAATTTACAGCAAAGTAAAGCAATATCCTACAAGAGAAATCATATTATTATTGCATTGATAGTGCCGAATAGTTTGTTTTCAGTGTTTGTGTGTCCAGTAGCGCCCTCACCTGGTGATTGTGTCTCTGAATAACTTCCAAGAACACAGTGGGACGATCCTGAACCGGCTTGGTGAAGATCTGAAGCAAGTAACCGTTGTCATCGTAGTCCACCAAGATCTTCAGTTCCTGGATATGAGTAAGATCACAAAATGGTGTTTGTTTGAATGAATTTCTCCTTTACGTTGTTATGAAAACGAACAATACATGAACAAATATCTCTTTCAAAATCTTTAGAATACAGATAGGATTGAACCTGGAAAATCTGATGTATGTAAATAATACTAAAGTATATACTTGTAGCTCAGTGTATTGGAAGATAAAATGCTTTTAGAGAAATCAGCCTTTGAAGATGTGTTTTGTAGCTGAAATGTAAAGATGCAAATAGACAGTGCTCTAAAACTGCATTTTGTTTTTCTGAAAAAAGTACAAGAAACAAAATAGCTTGACATAGAAACAAAAGATCTTAAAAAAAATAACCCCAAAATCTTAAAATTGACCTGCGCACAAAAACGTTTTTGCCTGTGATGTCTCATGCTATAGTTTTAAAAAGTATCAATGAAAGTAATTCTCTTCCAAAGAGGCCACTGCTTTCAAAAAGTTACTTGGTATTGACATTTAGATAATCATTTCTTACAGCGTCACACAGCATCATTGTACCAGCTTTGTTGAAATGTGGTGATAGTTCTGACCTGCAGGACGTCCAGGTCCTCTGAGACTTTAACCTTTGAGTGCTTCAAGTTCTCCCTCAGCTGGCTGTAGTAGGTGTCGGGCACCGACATAAACTCCATCCCACGCTCCTTTAGGTTGCGGATCTGCAAACAAGGGATTCATCAGAACATTTTTGTTGTTTTGTTCTAATTCATCAAAGATACAAAGACAAATGCAGTGTTTTAGCAGCCTTACTGCAGTAATGATATCTGATGTATTCATGGCAATGTGCTGCACTCCTGCACCTCCGTAGTACTCCACGTACTCCTGTAAGTCAACAAAACTGTGCTTAGGCTATAAATGACTGTTTTTGTCACTGTTACACTGCACATTTCAGCTTTGTCTTCAATTTGATTGCATATATTTAATGTAAATGAGCAGACTGTAAAGACCATGCCTGGATCTGGGACTTTCTCTTCCCCATGGCAGGCTCGTTGATGGGCATCTTCACCGTCTCCTCATAGTTTGCCACCACAATGGAGCGTAGGGCACTGAATTCTGTCTGAAGCTGCTTGTCATCCACTGACCAGAAGCGATGAAAGAGAAGGTTCCTCTGATACCTGTTCAATCATGAACCACAGATCAAGAAACAGAGTGGTGCAATTTCAAACATCACATTGTGTGTCAAACACTCCTGAAGCGCCTTCTGGAGTAGTAGTAAATAAAAAAAAGCATTTCATTTTATTTAATAATGGAATACTGCGTCTGGAGTTTATACTGTAAACTCACATCATCTAAGTTTGTGAATTGAGGAAATGGGGCCTGCAAAACATTGAATGAGTTTTTATGACCCAGTCCCAAGAGATTCTTCACATCTAAAAACTTCCGTCTGTGTTACACCCCTCTGTCTGTGATTAGCCAATGAGCTTGCTCATTTAGAGAACTGCCTTACCTCACCCTTTCATGGGGTAAAAACAAGATCCAGATGTGGAGACCCACATAAGAAAATGCAAAGTCATGCTGATCCCTAACTCACGCCACAAAAGCAGAGTTATGTAAGAACCCGGCACCCTTTAGCTCCACCTCTCATCCGCCCCCTTCTGCAGATCACATCCCAACAGAGAGGCATAAACAGCAGGTCTGCTATCATGCATGCTCGTTTATACAAGAACTAGTTATGAGTGCATTACCAATCCACCACTGGAACCATCTCTTCATCTGGTTGGTTTCCCACAACATGATCAATAAAGTTCAATTTTCCACTTGGCCTGCAATGTAGGATGGAAGCAAAACCACAAATGTAACATTCACCAGTTGTGATTCAGGCAGAAACATGCGTGTTATAATTTTATGAGCATACCAACACCAGAATAACCTACAGTTTGGCTAGTAAAGGGTCCTTGAACAGAGGGGCAAGGAAACCAGGGAGGAACAGTCCACTGTATCCTGACCTCTCCACCAATGTGTGTGTGGTGTCACCATACTGCAGCAAACAAAAGCAAATCCAACATCCTGGCATTTCTGACATTTTCAATTTGATAATGTACTAATTAAAAAAAATAAAAATAAAAATCTTCTCTTACCGTTTGAAGCACAGCCAGCCTGACTTTACCATACTTGTCCTCCAGAGTGTGGGGCTCCTTTACAATAATTGCACCTCGCTCACGGGCTTTCTGTTTGTGGAGAAAATGTTCACACATTCTGAAAGGTGTCTTCAAAGGAGGAACTGTGTGTGAAGAAATATCTGCAAGTGCACCTGTAAAGTAAAACCTGTTACATTACCTCAACCAGAAAGTCACAATCCTCCACAGTAAATGCTACATCCTTCACTCCGTCCCCATGTTTCACCAGATGTTCTCCCATCTCTGAGGAAAGGATGAGAGAAGACATTTTCTTAGGAATAGAGAATAATTTCAATATTATAAAAAGAAGAAGAAGAAGAAAAAAAGGACATGATTTAAATGTTTTCTTCTTTCACTTTTAACTAATCTTGATGTGCTTTGCAGGTCATGTGCATGCTGGAAAAGGCCTTGTTTGGAGTTGGAGTTCTGACTAAAGCTTATCAGGGTAGTATATTTTCAATCATTCCTTCTGTCCTCACTTGTTTTTAAAGTTTGTAATGGAAGAACTAAGTTGATCTTTGAACGGTTTAATAACTTACATCTCAAGAGATGTAAGTCATTTTTAGAATAACAAAAAGGTTAAGTGAAATAGTGATGATGAATATATTTCATATGATTACGTATGTAAAATAGTAACAAAACAAAAAAAAGATTATTTGCATTGTGATTTGCTTTCTTAAACTAATCTCTTTTGTTACTAAGTGTGACATCTTCGATGGCTTTCCTGGTAAATTCCCAATGATTTATTTATTTATTTTTTTTAAATTTCACAATTCTTTCATGTTTCATTATTTAAAATGAATGAAATGAAAAATGAAATGAAATGAAAAATACTTCATTTATCCCAGAAGGGAAATTCAATTCAAATTCAAAAGGACTGTTACTACTTTTTCTGTGACTATCCTGTGAACCCAGCTCCTGATCAGTGCTCTACCTTTGTTTCCAGGATTGAGGGCAGATGAGAACACATAAATGATCTGTGAAACACAAAGTGAAAACATGAGCATGATGAAAACATTTTTTTGTGTTGTTGCACTGAAAACATCAGACATCCTTGCTGATTTGCTCCAGGATGAAGATGTGCTGCCACTGACGGTTCTTTACCTTTCCTTGTTTGACTGCATGGGACACCACTTCACGACTGCCTGTCTCCAAACCTTGGTAAGCCAGCGGCTCAAATCCCAGCTTGTTACAGTAATAAGATGCAGCCTGTTAAAGACAATGGTGTTTACACTCCTTCAAATGAAATGTAGCTTTAAACTGTGTGGTAGGGCCATCTCCTGGTGATGAGTGCGGCTGCAGTTTGTGCTGAAGTTATTTAAGGTGGGAAAGTCATTATGTGGTCTGGTATTTTTCATGCTGTGTCCCCTCCACCCCTCAAGAGAGCCAATAGTATTCCCAATTATAATGGCTTTCTCCAGCTATAAAAACAAAAAAACCCTATGGGACCAAGAAACTGGTTACCTTACCTGCTTTGCATTTCCAACCCAGAATGTTAAGTGATCAAAGCAGAGGAACCTGCCTTGCTCATGCTGAGGACAAAAAAGAAAAAAGTGAATCAGTGCTGCAAGCTTTCTTTGTAAGCTTGAAATGCACAAAGGAAAAACAATCTGAGTTTAATTTAACACTTAGAAATCCTGGATTTTTAAAACCATCATTAAAACCTAGTCACACAGTGTTCTGATTACTGCGACTTTTTTTTTTTTTTTTTTTTAAACCCTCTGCTAACTACAACACATATGGTTCAGCTGTTTACCTTTTCACCTTTGTCTGTGTATGTTGTCTGTAATGAAAAAAAGCACATCCTTAAAATATTTTTCTGTGCAAACACAAGGTCTTAATGTGACAAGTAATAAGAAAAGGAAGAAGAAGAAGAAGAAGAAGCCATGCACAACTATCAGTTAGTGAATGGAAACTCACCATGTTGTTCCCGGTGACCTGACCTGACTGTCAGAATGAAATTTTCAGTCAATGCCAGAATTTTAAAGCCGAGCAGGAAGTTTCTGAATCCACTCCCACCAATGAGGAGGAGGTGTTGGAGGAGGAGAGAGGAGTATTGATGCTTGTTCTGCTGTTATACAACGATTACTTGGGTAAACATGTCAACACATAACAGGTCTGATTAAAACCTCATCCTTCCTTCATTTACTGCCACTGAGTTTGATGCTGAATTCTATAATGCTTGTAATAAATGCCATATTAAGAAATACGCACAGCTAGATACTTTGGTTAAATATTATTTTTCTCTAAAAATAAATAAATAAATGTATAGCTTATAATACATTATAGATAATTATAAAAGTTATAAAATGTTTATAATAATTTTTTATATTTTTTGTTCTTTGTTCTGAAAAGTGATGCAGAAAAAAATATTCGTCCACACAGGTTTAGAATTACAGCGGCATTTGCCTTGAAAAAGAGGACGTCCATGTGTTAGTGTTTAGTGGCAAGAGGAGGCTCACTCATGCAGGACTCTCATTGGCTGTCTGGAGTTACGCCGAGCAAACCCTTGAGTGCCTACCTCCATCCCACCATCACTATTTGACATACAATGTTTCAGTAACTGCCTTTCTATAGTCCTCAGAAATGAAAATTATCATAATTTTGTGGTTTTACACAAAGTGCAAGTGGTCTTAAAGACAGCAGTTCAGTGTCTGTATGTGAGACTGTACTGAATCAGATTTTACTGTATACTACATATACAATGTAAAGTTAATGACAAGATGGAAAAAATTTACAAGTCCACAACCATAACTAGATGCTGAATATAGAAGTTCCATGTTTGTGCATTAGCAGACATTCAACTGATTATAAAGAACCGCAACATAAGTTTTCGGTCTCCACGCCAGATGACTAAACTTTTTTTGCTTTCCAAGAATCCTCAAACAAATCCACAGAATTAGCTCACATAATGGAAACATCTTAACTGGTGAAAAACATTGTCAGTGCAGGTATGACACAACTTTCCAGAAGCCTGTGATCCCAAAGCACAAAGCACACCAGCTGAAAAGAAAAAAAGGTTTTTACAAGCAGAGATCAGTCCCCAGTTATCGCTGCACTAAACATTTACTCAGTGATCCAAGGAAGGAATCAAAACAACTGCAAAGCTATCTGACATAAAGCTACAGCAACATACAGTGACTGATATTCACCATGTCAAGACTTGCTCATGTCAAACGAAAACACACATTTCTACAAAATAATGTAAATTAGTACAAAATGTAAACCAAGTGAATACATAAGCAACCATCCCCTTTATCCCTGTTCAGGACATCTGGGGTCTTTTGGACCCCAGGCCATTTGGTTTAGGTGACAGGTTTCTACTTTTGAAGATTTTGTTTTTAAATATAAAAAGAGGGACATTTGTCATGCATTTGGAACCAAAAATATGTCAACTTATCAGAAAATGTATTTAACATAATATAAAAGTCTATAATGAATACCAACAAATATTTTTCACATATTCTTTCTCGGGATCCAATGGACCCCGAAAGACCTTCTACGTATATGGCAACATGAAAGTCCTGAATAGAGTAAAAGTGACTCATGTAATTCTGTTCAATGAAATGGAGATCACATGAGAGCAGTAAATGTGTTTGTAGTGATTGTAGTATGAAGACATCTGCATGTGGAAGGTCCCCTCCTGGCTATAATGACACCATAAAGAAAAAAACACTCCTAGCAACAGTGTGAAAAGAGTGTTAAAAACATAAGTCAGGTGATTGACACAAGAAAATTTCAGTCACTGAATATCCTTTGGACTACAGTTACATCCATCACTAGTAAATGGAATGAATGTGGCACATGTGACACCTATGAAGTTACAAGCTATTGTCACCATGCTTTGGGGTGGGCAAGCTGTGTTTGTGTTTGATGTCCACCAAGCAGTTGACTTTAGAGTCTCCTACATGCTGTCGGGTGAACTCTAGTCAAAATTTAATAGGAGCTCTTTCCAACAATGGTGTTCTCTCTGCCACTCTTCTATGAAGCTTTGACCGGTGAAGAACAGGCAACAGTTGTTTTATGCACAGCCTCTTTTCCTTTCAGAGGAGTCACAGGTGTCTTGGTGGCCTCCCTCACTAGTCTTTGTCTTGCACGGTTGCTCAGTTTTTAAGGTCGACACCACACCAACTGACTGCACCTATGTTGAATTCAGTAAGTCACTTTAAAGGGTTCGAATGCTTGTGCAATGACTTATTTATTGACAACAAAACATCAAACTATCAAATCACCAAACTAAATGCTGAAATCAATGCTGAAAAGCAAAAAAAAAAAACCTCAGAGGGACATGAGTACTTTATTAAAAATATGTACTGCAGTAAGCCCCAGACACACAGTCAAAGACAGGATGTTTACTATTTTTGACCTAAAGTCATTATATGTTAGTTAGTATGAACCTATTTATGTCTCCCTAAGGTGTAAAACAGATGATAAATATTTAATCATCTAATATAATCTATACATAATATGAACAGTATATAAATGTATGAATACTATAAACATTACATTTTTAAAATCACAATCTAATAAATTAACCAGCTTTGGCATATGAAGAAAATCAATAAAGTGTTGCCACATTTAACAAGTTATGCTAATTATGCTAATGATTTAACAAAACTATTCATAATGTTATTACTGACCAGAGACCAAACATTTGCACATAAAGAACATTAGAGGACTAATTTTCCAGATTCATGTTGCTTTAATGATTTCACAACTGCCTTGTTGTCATAGATGAGTGTGTAGGTTTATATGTGGTTTTATTCCCTTGTTGCGTCGTTCTAATTTATCTAATTTCCCCCTACAAATTGTACCACTGAGCTAAATCTGCCCATTACAATAATTCCACAATTTGACTTGGACATTGCTTTTATTTTTTTTATTGTTCTAATCATCAGCTTTACACCTCATTAGCTCAGAGCTCAGATTATATCACTACCTCAGGCAAGAAAAAAAACAAAAACCCGTTAATTGTGTATTGCAGGTCTACATTCCAGGAACAGCACACTAATCACTGATGAGAATTTAAAGCTCGCCTCTCAGCGCTCCCGCTGCAACCATCCCTGGAGATTTTTGTTTTTCATGCTGTTACCAGGAGGCTCATTGTTGTCACGGGATGCAGCTACACACATACAGACGCAGGAACACAACATTAAATAATTACAACTGCTTTACATGAATGTGGTCGTTTCGTATTTTAATAGTGTGCTGTGGGAGGTTTAGACTAAGTGCTGTTGACACCATGACTAATGTTTACTGGATAGCTGTTGCTTTCTTTAAAAAAAATGCTTCAGTCATTATGTAGTATTTTCCTTAACTTTAAAAAAAAGGTAATTTGATGTATTTGATGCTCTGACTGACTTAATCTGCATTGTTGCTTCGACGTTGTTTTGAAATGGTTTCTTATACAATGCTAAACGATAGGTCCAAGGTCCTTGGTGTTCAGCCTCTCTAAGGACAAACACCTCAGTCAATTAGGTCCTTCCCACGCCAGCACTGCTCACATAATTGTAGTAGCTCAGTTCAAAGGAGCAAAACAGCTGTCGGGAAGAAAAATAAAAATGAGTGAATCAAATCCAGAAGTCCTGATAAATGGCGAAAAACAGGAGAAACAGCAGGACAATGCTGCTACAGCGGAAGAGATCGTCTCTCCTGTCAGTCAGGATGATGAATGTTCAGAAGACAGCGGCGCTGCAGAAAAGGAGACACAGGCAAAGATGCAGTCTGTTTTCCAACAGGTACGTAACCAGATCAGATCACAAGTGAGTGCCAAAGTCCCAAAGAGCAGCATACTGGAGCTGGTGCAAAAAGTCAGAGACAGAGAAGCAGAGAGTGGACAGGTAACCAGTGGACCCAAGGGCAAGGATGTCAACGGTGAAGAGGACAAACAAGTGTTGACCGGTCAGATCGATCTGAAGGAGGAGGAGTTGTGTGCAATTTTTGAGGAAAAGCTCGAGGTGAGCCAAAAAGCCTTAAAGGATGAGTTTCAAGTTCAGATTTGTCAGGTGCGTAAAGAAATGCAGGCCTACACTGACCAGGCTCTGAGAGACTTGGAGTGTAAGATGCAGAACTGGCAGTCCCACAGTCTACAACATGCTCCTCCAAAGGAACAACAGGGAGGCAAAGCTCCAGACAAGCGACCAAGGCCTTCAGCGGCTCCTTCTCTGGCGTTCAAAAGAGGACGAGTCCTGACCCGGACCATGACCACCATCATCCCTAAGACCTGTGCTCCCGTCGTCATTGGCCCACGTGCCAAATCAGAAACACTGAGCTCCTCCAAGGGTGAAGGCTCTCGATTTCTACTCAGAGATCCAGTGTTCTCCTCATCAGGAAACAAGCCTTACCAGAACCGCAAACCTCTCCCCCCAGCTCGCCCCCCACTGCAACAGCGTAAAAAGCCGACTCAGGCAAAAGCTAAAACAGGAAACTGATCCAGTCTGCATCAAAGACAAAGGAAATACAGATCATTTATGCAGGCGACCTGATGAGAAACCAGGACTGTAAGCACTCTCTTATTGCTTGTTCCCTGTTTATCTGCAGCTTTACTGTAGCGCTACTTATTGTTTATGCTTGAAATTTGTAGTTCTAATTGTTAAATTAATAAAACACATTGTAAGAGCTTGAAAAGAGACTTCCCATTTACTTCAGTGCAGCCAATGTATTTTTGTGGCATTATTTGTCCATACTTCAGAAGGGGTCAGTATTTGTCAGGCCTCGGCAAAACAGTAGCTTGAAATGAAATCCAGACTGCAAAGTAAACTAATCAAATCATTTAACACAAACACTCGGTAAATGATCAGTTTAATTTTGCTATTTAATCAACATGTTTCACAGGATGCTGTGAAAGTGGATTGTTCCTTAACTGGTTTGCAGAACAGGTGAACAAAAGCCACAAATTAGGACTCAGGCTGTACTGCCCAGACTGTTTTCATAGACTACATTTTGACTTTTTGCTTTGGCGTATCAGCTTCGGTCACTACTGAGCTCTCTGGTAGCAGGTCTAACTGTAGGCAGGATGGTTTTATTATCATCTGTGAGTGAACACAGCATTTTAATATCTTCTCTTTGAATGCTCCCCACAGATTACATTTTACATTCCTGCATTTCATGTCAATTATTTTAAAATTGTGGTTTATTGATGTATTTGGCCACCAAGGAGGTTCTGTGCTCATTATACTTTAAACTGCGCACAGACTGCGTCATTCCCTTCAGGGATCCACTCAATCGCAAAACTTAAAACATAAGAAATGATTTATTTAAAAGTAAGGTGATTTTTTTCCCCAGTCTGTCTTTTACATGCCTCACATAGAGATGGAAAGCACCTCTGTTCACTGTGGTCGTCCCGTCTGTTCATATAAGCGGTCCTGTGAAATACATTTTCAGTGTAATGAAGGACAAAATCCACATTCCTCAAGTTCAGCGAGGAACTTATACATACATCTCTGCCTCCAGTATTGACACAAGGAACAATTACAGAGACAAGTAACCTTTCTAATGTATTTGTGTATGTCAGATTGTTTCGGACAG